CGGTTAGCGGCTCGAAAAGTGAAACTGGCGAGTTGATTTCGAATTCGGGCAGATTTCTTGAAGTTCCCGTTCGTACACATACACTTATACTCTCTAGTCACATTTGCCAGATAGTCTAGTAGAAGGACACCCCTGAATTCAAAACCATTTGGTGTGCAAAAGAACAGATAGACGCTCTTCTAATTTATTTTGGTAAACTATCTAGAGATTGTTCAATAAAAAAGGGACCCATCACCCTGTAGCTGGGACCATTCTTGCGAACATGTCTGCATGAAAAGTCGCACAAGGATAGAAATTGTTAAGTGAATTACGCAATCTGCTGTAAAATGCCGTCGGAATTTTTTTCATTCAAAATATGGAAAGCAGATAAGGAAAATCAAGTTCAGAATTCTGCTGTTCACTTTTTACCAAAAACTCTTGGGAAAGGCCTGAAACCATCTCCCTCTCGATATCAGGTTAGTGCATATCTTTTTCCCTAATACCCCCCACACTGTATGCAAGTTGAAGACCTTCAGTTCTGTAAGGAAGTGCTGTTAAGAGAGATATGAGAGACACGTATCTCAAGTCATATTGTTTATGTTACGGTTGTACGTTTTCAATTATTTCGTTTTTAGTATAAAAAAGTGAAAAGCATTCCTCTATCAACTGCTACTACACATACGCAAAATAACCAACAAGATATATTTATAGTAAAATGACCAGTAATACATTTAAGGGGAGAATTATCAACAATACATTTTATCTGTAGTTGAAGGCTTACAATTGCGTTCAAAATATTTAGATTTGGCATTAAATAACTCGTAGAGGTGTTGATATGTCGCTAAACAAAATTAACCAACCAACAATACCTATATATAGCAGAATTACCAACAATACTTATTTAAATCAAAATGACCAACAATACATTCAATCTGTAGTTGAAGGCATATAATTGCGTTCAAAATATTTAAATTTCAGTATTAAATAAATCATAGAGGTGTTGATATGCCGCTAAACAAAATTAACCAGCCAACAATACCTATACATAGAAATATTACCAAAATACCATTTAAATCACAATGACAAACAATACATTTTATTTGTAGTTGAAGGCATACAATTGTGTTCAAAATATTTAGATTTCGGTATTAAATAACCCATAGAGGTGTTGATATGCCGCTAAACAAAATTAACCAAACAATCAATATGAAAGAACTCTTTCATGGCATCAATCCATATAATATCCTACAATATCTTAAAGAAATCAAACTGTATTCCGAAATATAAGTTCAAAACTTCAACATAAAAGATACAACATCGCTTCCAGTAATTACGTTCACGCAAACATGTATATGCACTAAAGCAGCTTATCATCTACCATGTAGTCAATTGTGAAAGCAGAATAACATATATATTTATTAGCTCATAGCTCCCAAGAAAATTAAATTTCGTCATTAAATGACATGTAAGATGTTGACATAAGGTTAAACAAAGAATTCAATCATCCAATCGTTGCTAAGTCCATCGTATTCTCATCACCACACATTAGCCATTTCGAGTTTCTTTTTCAGCAGTAAAGAAATTCTTCAATATTGCTTTACACAGAGTAGGAAAAACATGCCACAAATATCTATCATTGCTTTTGTTTCTAAAGACTTTTTCTGATGTCTTATTTCTTGGTTTAATTTCTGGAAGGCCTCTTTCGTAGTTTTTAAACCTAGTAAAAACACAGTGTCTTATTTGTCAAACTATGCCCGATGTCTGACGATTGAGGCTTTTTCTCAGATTACTTTGAAAGAAGACTTTCAAAAGCTAAACACACTATTAAGAAACAGGAAAATTTCATTGGAAACAAAGAAAATAGTACTGAACTGTTATGCATTACCAATATTCCTATAGGGCATTAATGCCTGCACCATCTAAACACAGAGTATATACTAGAAGATGGCCGAGATGAACCAAATGAAATTTTAGAATTATCACTGTCCAGCAGGTTTTATTAAAAGTAACTGAAACTTCTATGTGCCATGTCCTCTGAGTACCAAATTTTCCAAGCCCTTTTTTTTCATTTTTGATATAATGGAATATGCATACACTTGTGTTCCTTCTCACTGGAATATGATTGGCTGGTGTCCGTCATAAATACCGACGGACGTGTAGGAGAGTCGAGAGCCTTAGTCTGAGAGCTAAGTCTATAACGACGCCCGTTGGACTACGCCATTGATTTACACTTCTTACCTGCGACTATGACGCGTACCAGTCGATTACTGCTACCGTATTTTATTTGGTTATAATATCCAAAAATCAATTAGCTACTTCGTTCAAATATATCCCTTTCCGGGACATATCAATTTTGTACCTAGAAATTTCAAATTTCCTTTTTTGGATGTTAAATATAGTGATTTTCCAAGCGCAGCTTAGATGTGGCACTAGGCTGAAAGCAGAAGGCAGCCATTGATGATCAAACTCACTACTCAGTCGTAATTGTTCTAGCGTGACAAGCTTGTTAACCATGACACCGCCTCGTAGTGCCCATTGGATGTTAAGTATAAGTGTCCTTTTTGTTTCCACGTTTTCTAAGATGTGGTTCTACAGAAGGATGCTATGGATTTCAGAGACTGTAGCTACGAAGTTTTAGAGAGCCTGGGAAAAAGGACACTTATACCTTAACATCTGGTTCGCCTTCTGTTGCCTCTAAATTCGATTTTCACTGAATATCTGATTGTCATACGTTCGACCTGTATGACGCTGAATATCGTAGATGGCGAAAGGCATTCTCTGCCAAAGTAACGGTGCTTGCATAATTTTAATGGCGGCAACAATACGGACGAAAACCAACTGAGGATAAAATCTCATGTCTCATTGATTAGGATCGTGAATAAGGACCAAGGAGTGGATTGAGAACTGACGCCACAGATAGCGTAATGTCCACGACGGACGTTCTACGCCATCAAAATCACGTCAACTCGTTTATATGGGACAGTAATTAGTAGCTTGTTGAGCGGAAACGATTGCGTCTAAAACTGTGGCGTGACATTCGTATTGTCTGCTGCTTACTTGCCAAGGCGATTGTTGTCAGAAATCGTCCGCCATGAATCATGGATGTGAGCGAAATCACTGGGTTACTAATCTGTCTTTGTCGTTTGCATTTTAGATTACTTTTTTTTTTTTTTTTAAGTTTATTATTTTCATTCGCCGTGGAGGTTTTTCAGTCATTTTTTTCTTTTTCTGTTTTGTTCAGTCCTACTTCGCTTGCTTCAAAATCATGTCATCTTGTCCTTATCAAATATTTTAATGTCTTCGATTTTTTTCACTTGTTTTTTTAAAATCTTTTTTTCTCTCTCACCGTCTATTCCTTCTACAGCTATGCTGACTTCATTTACTTAATTCTATGTCTTATTAAAGCCTTATTGCATCTTAAACATCTGTATTTTCTAGTTGTAGAACTTTTACGTTCATGCGATTGAATAAAAAAAAATTCTTAATTTTTTTTTATACAAGATATTTTTTTTGTTGTTACCTCACTTTTATGCATTTTCTCATCGTTAATCTTTAGATTTTTTTTCTTATCATTTCTGCTGATTGCCTTTGTTCTTTTACCTTTTATCATATTGCATGTTATTCCTATTCTTACTGTTATTCTTGTGTTTATTATTGCTATTATTTTATTATTTCTCATTCTTTTGCCGACTTTAATCTTGATTTTATTCTTTTCTCCTTTATATATATTCTTGGGATTATTCTTTCTTTTCGTTATTATTACGTTTATTTGCATTGTGTCTCTTATGATCCAGAATGATAATGATATTCCACCATTTTAAAAATAACCTTGCCATCAGTGATGATAGAAAATAATATTTCATAATCCCTAAAATAAAGTGTTATGGTCCGGTTCCTTGTACCACGGTGATAGTCCAAGGTAGAACCAATAAAGAAGAACTCGAACACGTATATGGAATAACACGGATATATTAAAAACAGGAATATATACAGAGAAGTAGAAAGTGTTAGTAAGAACACTCAGGTTTAGTAGTAATTGTCTGAACGTGACTCTGTTTCGGACTGCCTCTGACTCTACTGACTGACTGACAGATTCCTGGCGGAACTCACTCCAGACTTCAGACTGAACTCCCTGCTTCCTCTTGAGGCGCAGTATTTATTACGTATGGAATAGTCCATTATGTTATTATAGGTAAGGTCCCATAACATAAAGATAAAAAATTTTTCATCATCCTAAAACAACCTTGCCACCAGTGATGAAAGATGAGAAAGATATGTCATCATTCTAAAATCTGATTATAAAAACGACCCTTCCACCACAAACGAGGGTAGTCAGGCAGTTAGTAGACTAGGGGCAGCTAGTCAGTAGAGTCAGTAGACTAGAGCAGAGTAGCAGTAGTAAAAATGAACACAAAATTACGCATCACCATCGCTCCGGGAAATCGAAAGTTGACGGTCTCAAATGTTATCCTTAACAACGAGATTCTCGGAACAAGCAAAACACGTAAGCAGAAACTTTTAACGAAACAAAAGTGACAGTAACACTGAACATTTTTAACACACACCATACTAGTATCGGTAATTCACATCACGAGAAAGAAGAATACACTTTGTTATTATTAATGTCAAGACGTGTCTCAAGTCTTAATGTTTATGTTATTGTTGTACGTTTTAATTCATTTCTTTTTTAGTATAAAAAAGAAAAAAGGATTCTTCTATCAACTACTACTACAAATACACATATAACAACGGTGTAATTACTTTAACTACGTCAATAAATAATATCACGTCAGGATTAATACTGCATCAACACCAATATATCGACTTATCAACCCTGTTATATTCTGTTTATTCTGTTCTGCATATTCTTTTATTCTTATTCTGTGTTAATTCTTTTATTTTTATTCTTTTCTGTTTATTCTGTTCTTCTGCTTATTCATTTATTCTTATTCTCTCTTAATTCTTATTCTTTTCTGTTTATTCCGTTCTCCTGCATATTCTTTTATTCATATTCTTTCTAG